TGTGATGAGGGAGAGGGGGAAGGTTGTCCATGTGAGTATGGTTCATGCGTGGAGTTTGAAGAGCGAGTCTGAGAAGATGAGTACTTCTTTGAAGGTGGAGTGAGAGATGGGTCATTATTTGTTTGTAAGGGGTTTATAATATCACTGGCTTCGTAGAGTACTTGAGTGTTAGTATCTTGAGAGATGACATGGAGGATTTATTATCTTTTGCATGGATTCTGAGGGGGTTAGCATGTGGTTTTTAACTTTGAGTGAGTTAGGGTTGGCGTTTGCAATTTGTTGGGATGAGGAAAAAAGGGGTTGCATGGCTGTATTAGCCAGCTATTTTCCTTCCAAGCTGTGGATTGTAGAGGATTTGGTTTGATTAGGAGTAGGCAAGTGGCCTTTAATGTTATTTAATGGCTTACCATTAGCCACGTGGGAGTTATTTTCCCATGCAAACCGGATTTTGCATAGTTAATGTCGAAATAAGGGGTTGGTTGTTTTGGTTAAAATCATGGTTCGGGATACTAATAGGATGTGTCAGGGGATTGGTGTCTGACGTGTTCTAGGATATCGAATTGATTTCCTATGTTAATCTTATATGTTTCGGAAGTGGAATTTGGAGATGTGGCTAAAGAGGCCTTTTCTTTATAGATAAGTTTTTGAGTATTAATGTACTTTCCAGTGGTGGCATCAAAGATTTTGCCTTAATACCATAGCCATCCGTAGTGATAGCATTTTTTTGGGAAGTTTTTCTTTGAGGATTTTCTTTGATGAGTTGCCCTCTTCGTTTGGTGAAGGAGACTACCTTCCATTGGTCATCCTCTAAGTGAGTTGAGGGATTACTTTTAGTTTCTTGAGAAGAAACAGTGGTGGAAGAGAGGGTGCTACTATAGCTACAATTTAACTGAATATGGCCTAACCACACCCTTTACAAAGGAAATTTTCTCCCTCATAATGAATAGGTTGTTTATGTGAAGCTATATAGATAAAAGGATGAACATGATGCTCTAGAGGTAATTCCACGCATAATCTAGCATATCTACCTCTCAAAGTGGCCGAGGTACAATCATCAATTTTTAAAAGCTTACCAATTTTGTTACCAATTCTTGTGTGAATATTACTAACATGAAATTCTGTAGGGAGTTGAGGTAATCTTAACCAAATAGCAGAGATGGTTAATTTTTCATTAGAAGCAACGAAATTTGGTACCCATTTTTTAACTGACAGATAATGACCATTGATGAACCATGGTCCTTGATGAAGAGCTTTGGCCATATTGACTTCTTTAGAAAATTTAACAATATAAAAATCATCTTCCAAGTCTATGAGAGAAAACTGTTCCGTGGGTTTCCAAAGCTCTTGAATCTTCTTTTTGAGATATTGATGAAGGATACGCTTACCAAATAATTTGATAATAACCGAAAATTTCCATGATTCATAGATGCGTTGCTTTTCATCGGATGAGAGAACAATAGTGTGGTCCCTAAGTGATGCATCCTCTTGTAAGGGAGCCTCAGACATAGCTTCATTGCAATCATGAGTTCTTGGAAAGGAGGAAACGTGCTCTTCATGAATAAAATTTATTGGGTCAGAGGACAAGAGTTTCCCTTGAAAGTAGGCAAAACATCATCCGCTAATGTTTTAGCATCAACTGCTGGATCTGGAGGTTCTAGAGGTATTATGTCCATTAGAAAAGGACCTAGGGTATGTTGGGACATGGGGTGAAAGAGTGGATATTTGGATATAAGGAAATTTAGAGAGAAGTGAGAGCTTCTCTCTCTAGTATCCACCTATTTTCACTTCGACTAATTTCTAATACATACTTAGATTTCATCCCTATCTCAACTGTTGGATGGATATCATCTTCAACCGCATGCATATTTTGGTATGCCCGGTACTAATAATGACATTAATGTTTTAGACTCATCACATTTATTTTCTAATCTTGCTAAAGGTATTGCTCCTCCCTACCATTATGTTATTCAAGGAAAAGAATATGATGTGGGTTATTATTTAGCCGACGGTATATATCCAAAATGGTCTACTATTGTGCAAACTATTCGTGAGCTACGTTCTCAAAAGAAGAAATATTTCACAATTAAAATCATGTCGAAAAGATGTTGAACGTGCATTCGGAGTTTTGCAATCTCGTTTTGCAATTATTGCATGGCCGTCACATTTTTGGAGGAAAAAAGTGCTCCATGATATATTAACTACATATATTATACTGCACAACATGATATTCGAGGATGAACGTGGTCTTAATGCACCAATTCAAGATGCTTGGGAAGGTCAACTCCAACAGCAGAAATGGTATTAGATGAAAATTATCGATTTGAACAATTTTTAGCCCGGTACAAAAAATTAAGGACAAAGATGCTCATTTTGCACTTCGTAATGCATTAATAGAGCATTTATGGGAGCAACATACTAATCTTGTAAGTTGAATATTTATGTAAAAATTAAACTAAATTCTACCATAATGTAATATTTATTTAATTATATCTTATCAATGATTTCATTTTTATTTGACTTATACATTTGTATAATGTATAATATTTGCTTATAATTTATATTTATTTAAAAATTAAAGGTATAAAATAATTTTATATTAAATGGTTATATAAGAAAGAAATATGAATTATATGGATAAATATGTAAAAAAGAAAAAAGAAAGGATTTGTTTTATAAAGAAAACAATATAATATAGAAGAGAGAGAAGAATATAAAGGGAATATTTTTGGTGAAAAAAATAGTATAATGGGTTGGAGTTACTTTGCACCATTTTGGTATAAAAAAATGGTGGAAGGATTGGAGATGCCCTAAAGCTAGGTAATTAATTATCTTATGACCATGTATTTCAATTTCTTCTGTTATGCTATGGTCGTGTTACGAATATTTTGAAATTTATCCCATGATTCTAAGACACCTAAAACAATTACCCCTCCAGTTCACTTTAATTGATTTTTTGATTATTTTCACACATATTAAGAAATTGACCTTTTAGCATTAATTAACAACAAAATTGACCATATTAACCTTAATTTATTCATTGAAAATATAACAAAACTCCTAGGTTCTTTACTCCAAGGACAACTTACGAAAAAAAAATTAATTCATTCTTGATATCTGAAAAAATTAAATATTGTAGACCCCAAGAAAAATACCGAAAAATCAATTAAAAAATCAATTAAAGTAAATATCGAAATTTTAAGCAAAGCTTCATAGATTCTTTAAATTTCATTTTTCTTTTCTTTGTTTTTCGTTTGTGTTTGTCCCCAAGATGGACTACTACCTTCATAAAGAATTAATTGCTTTTTGTGTCGAGATTTTAATTTATTGAAGGAGTTAATGTGCATCTGGAATATGCTAGTCTTAAATAAAATTATTCTAGTCATCCGTCATACTTGTAAATCACTTCACGTTTCTCGCATAATCTATATTAAAGTTCTTTCACTATCATTAGGTAGATACAATCTACACTCGTCAAAGAGGTAAGAGGTATTATCACTTTTAGTTCGCGATAAAAATTATTTATATTCGATAGTCGAAAAGTGTATTAAATTTGTATAATTTTTGTATATAATATAAAGAATGTATATATACACAAAAAATATAATATTTTTTTCGACTATTATTTTGAAAGCGGCTATATAATGTGATTTTCCCAAGAGGTAATCACACTACATTTTTGTAGCATATCTTATCCTGGTTTGCGTTATCTCCAAATTAATAGGCATTGAATATGTCAATTTTCCAGTTTATTTAAACCAATATTTTTTTCCCAATGTGAACAGCCATGATGTTGTCACCATCCAGTTAGGGGTCGCCATCCAGTTAGGGGTCGTTTCGTAAGGTGTATAAGAATAGTGCGGAATAAGGTGTATTAGTAATGCATGAGTTAGTAATGGAAGCATTAGTTATGCAGATATTATTTCTTATTTACTGTTTGGTGTGGTGTATTAAAATTATAATGCATTGCATAATTTTTAATTTACAAAAATGCCCTCCATATTCTCTTGCTTTAAGGGACTTTAAGGACAATTTTGTCTTTAACCATACTAATGCATGCATTAATAGCCTTGATATTACTAATGCCATGATTTTCTATGCATTACTTATACATAGGATAATACCAAGTATGAGTATTAGTTATACACATGTTGAAAAAATATACCGAACAAGGTATTAGTAATGCATAGAGCTAATGCTTGCATTATTTTTCTAATACGTCCTACCAAACGACCCCTTACAGTTCAAATCCCAATCCGGTACAAGTCACTATCTAATACTCCCTCCGTCCAAGTTTATTTATCCATTATTAACTTGAAACACCTCTTAAAAAACAATAAAGAATATGTAATTTTACTACATCACCCCTATTTATTATATGTTGAAAAATAAATTGGAAATAAGCAGTACTTAATAAAAAGGGTTAGATAGGTTTAAAATAGTAAATAATCCAATGGTTTCCAAATTGAATAAGTAAATGCGAACATCTATTTTTAGCTAGCGTTTGGATATAGATTTGGTTGAAACTTGGAAAAAAAAGATTTCGAAGTTGTGTTGAAAAATAATTTTTGAAAGTTAAAATTGTGTTTGGACATCATTTTATTTGAAAAAAAGTTGAAGTTTTGTGATTGGAAGAAAAAAATTTCACCCAAAAACTGGTTTAGTAGTTTTTGGGAACTTGATTTTTTTTCTTCAAAAGCTGATCTATTCTATGAACAAACAGTGTTTTCAAAAATATTTTTTTTGAAAATAAAAGCAGCCAAAATTTATGGCCAAACGGGAGTTTATTATAGTGGACAAGTAAACTTGGAAGCAGGAAGTAAATTAGTTGATGAGGACAACAACAACAACGATCCAGTTAAATCCCACTAGTGGGGTCTGGGCTCTGGGGAGGGTGGTGTGTACGCAGACCCTACCCCTACCCAAGGGGTAGAGAGGCTGTTTCCGAAAGATCCTCGGATCAGTAGATGAGGATGCAACAAAAAAGGAAAACACTCCATCAGAAATCCAAATAGTTACCATCTTTGACAATATAGTTGGATTGGTATACGTCCTACTTACAAAGTTGAATCTTGAGATCAGAGGATTGCCAAGTGAATTAAGTAAGCAGATCAATTATTCTTCAACAATTACAGATGATCTAAGATTAACACACAACATTTTGTGCTGTTAACCATGTTTTAATAACTTCTATTATGTTTAACAGAATGAAATGATGCACCTCTTTCTTCTTTCCTTTTCAATATATGAATAATACTGACCACAACAAATCCTTTCTTTGCAATAACAACTTCAAGCCATTTGCCAAGTGACCTGTTAGGTTCAAAGATCAGCATTTCCTCATTAACTGAATTTCTCAAACCATGAGCATCAAGGCAGCAAGATGGATGTCAGCCTCCAATTTAGACAACATAAACTATTTTCACTTCCCTCTTAAGCTCATGCTCTTCCGCTTCTGATTGACGGCAAAACGTCGTGCCATAGCAGGGTTGTAGAATGTTCTCATGTGTTCTGACAGTTTATGAATGGCTCGTAAATCACCAACGGCTGAAAGCTGCATTAAAAATGAGTCAAATTTTCGGTATGGCAGTTTCATACCCCTGCTAACAACTTCTTCCAAAAGAAAGCATGCTTCTTCAGTAGCATTGCAATCAAAAAGCCCTTCAATCATCACACAGTATGTTTCTGTAACACGCGCACAACCCCTCTTAGACATCTCATGCCATGTCTCAAAGGCTCCATCTACGTCGCCCATTCTAAAGAACATAACAATTAGCATATTATAGGTCTGTACACTTGGAATACAGCCCACTTCGATCATCTTCTGATAAAGCCTAAGTGCCTCATCTCTCTCTTTATTATCACAAAGGACCTTAAGAAAACAGTTGTATGTAACTATATCAGCAGGGTAGCCCTTGTTTCCCATCTCTTCCAAAAGCTTATAAGCTGCCTCAGTCTTTCCACCCAAACACATACCTTCAATCAGTTCCTTGTAAGTTGAAACATCAGGAACACATCCACTATTTATCATATCCCCTAGAACTTTAAAACATTCCGTCATCATATCATTCTGAGCAAGAGCCAAGATCATAATAGTATAAGTTTTTGCAGTGGGAGAAGACATGGTTGAACCTTTAGTTCTCATGAACTCGAGAAGTTCAGCAGCCTTCATCACCATCCCTGCGGAGCAGAACGTGTCAATGGCAGTATTATAGGTGAAGTTATCGGGCGTATGCCCTATGTCGATCATATGTTCAAGAATGCTCATAGCTCTATCTGGGTTTCTAACACGACACCAACCGAAGAAAAGAATGTTATAAGTATCAGCAGTTGGCTTAACCTTACTCTTCACCCGCTTAAACATAGCCTCGGCATCTTCCACAAGGCAGCACTTACACAAAGCATCCAACAACAAATTAAAGGCATATACTTCGGGTTGTGTCTTCACTCTTATCTTCTTCTTCTTCGCAAACTTATGAAGATGTGTCAAATGCTTTTCAGTATACTGTCTAAGAATTGTCAACAAGACTTCTATAGGAACCAAACGCTTATCATTCCTCTTCATGTAGTCTAGAAGATCACAAACAATACGAAACTGCTTCACCTTGTATTTCGTACTAGACAATATATCAAGCATCTCATTATACGCCTGGGGCTCGTGACTATAATTTTCTCGATGTCCTGCCCACGTAAAGAACCTAAACGCTAACTTCTCTTCATAATGAAGCTTTTGCAAGACCCCCACCACCAATGGCGTCGTTAATTCCATTTCAAGCTTATCAAGAGCTCTCTCCATCTTATGCTCTGGCTTAAAGTGATCCATCACAACCTTGTAAACCTTATCATCAATGGAATCGTTGCTACAGTTTTCTGTTGTTTTCTCCAATGCAGAATTTTCTGCACAATAAAACCGCTGAAAGGACCCACTGATGAATGATGGTACCCAAAATCTCGAACCTTTATTCAAGATAAATGATACCCTTGTAGCAAATAGATGTTGTAATTCGTGTTTGCTGGCATGCCCATGAATATGTTTGGATGCTAATGAATTTGGCCTTAGATTTTGATGAAGCTTGTGATTTGGGGAATGCAATTTTCTTGTCAAAGTTTTACAGATAAATGAGACAACTTTGAGCTGAGACATTGCAAAGCGAGCAAATGAAATTATCTTTTATCAATCATGTGTGCTTTCCGCTGAGGCATTTCATCGAACAGGTGGAAGCTATAAACACAGTGAAGCACGACTGAGCGCTCACACAACTTGGCTATTGCTTCTAAGTCTTTTACCCGAAAAAAATGGAGGCATACGTATGGGTGGAAGCAGAGAGCAAAATAATGGACTCATACGACGCCGTTTTGTTCTCCGTTAAATCTGCTCCCGGCGCCGATTGTACTATTACAAAGAAAGCTTTAGCCACCTGTCCAAAACTATCACCGAACATAAAAATTAAAGTAATAAGATGTAAGGACTAAGGAGATGTGCTCAATAAAAATTAAAGTAATTAAAGAGCAATAGACCACTTTGAAGTTTGAACATAAATCCGAAGATATTGCTTGATAGAACCACATTTACAAACCACAATTAATATTCAAAATTTTGATGGATTAGAAAGAAAGAAAAAAGTGGACTTTAAATATGAGAGCCCAAGGACGTGGCAGCCTTTTAGTTAAACTAATTAATGATGAAATGAAGGATGAATCTTAGTTAAAAACAATAAATTCTAGATCAAATAGTGTAGGAAATCGGTAAGAACGACGTTTGACAACGTTAAATAACACGTTTATATTTAATGGATGCTACTAAATATGATAACATAAATATGCAATAAATGTAGATAATGGCAATAAATGTAATAAGAAAGAATCTACCACCCAATTATTATATGATTTGGATAGTTCTTTCTCCTGACAGCAACGTGGAAAAAAGAGAAGTGAAGATGGTTATGGAATCTTTGGATCTTGTGAACAAAGATCAAATAACGTGCACTTGAATAAGATAATCAATGAACAATACAACATTTGTATATTCTCTCAAGTCAACCTTTTACAATATCTTTTTCTCATAAAGTGAAGAGATCTCCTTCTTATTCCTTGTATTCATTTCCAAATCTATCCTACCGTTATTTCTTTAGCCCAGTTGCCCGTCCTCGACTACAATCCTCTTGGAGACGGCTTTCCGCAATTACGTCGTGGCCGACCCCGTCCTCGATCCTGTTTATCTACCCTTACCAGGTCGCCAAATTTAGACCAATACAGTTAGTCCCTCCGTTTGTTGAGGTCGTGGTCGTGCACGCCCTCGATAAGCCGACCCGGTTTGCGTCCATTTAGAGAAAATTTGGTCATGTTGATTAGATCGAATCGGCCGAGGTCGAGAAAATGGCGCAGCCAGCGAAGCTGTGGTTGGTGGGGCTATCGTGAGGTGACGTCATGGCCACGCGCATCATCATTACGCATCTTTGCGATGCAGCGTCTGTGTGTCTGCCGCTTTGGTTTTGGTTCCATTGACAATCATTTGCTTCGATTCTCGCGCCACCCAACCCTATAAATAGATGGGAGTTTCATTTTTCGGAAGTTTTCACCATTCCTCACTTTGCATGAGTATTGTTCTTCTTTGATCTTCTTCCCCAATTTCTGCTCTCGATTTCTTACAGCTTCTTCAGTTCATTTCCCTCTTTCTTACCCAGTTGTTATCTTCTTCTTCAGGCTTGGTAGAATACATTTCATTGTTGAAATATGTCACAACCCCCTTACATTCATGATGAGGTTTTCGATGCCACTCCGTTATCGGTGGCCCTTTCTCTCGGCGGTGAAGAATTCATGGCTGAAAAGGATGATAGTTTCCCTACCGCGGAGGAGATAATCCCCAAAACCTTTTGGCTAGAAATGATTTTCCAAAACATCCTGCTCCTGCTCCCGCTCAGGTGCTCTCTAAGACTGGACCGTCTCACGTAGCCAACCTCCGGTCCAAATATCGCATCCCTCCCCATGTCGAAATTATTCTGGTCGGAGGCGCATCGTGGAGGTTCATCGACCCGGGTATTGTGCCTTCTATGTCTACCCGTTCTTGATTGGTTATACTCTTTCTCTCTTTTCGCTAGCGGAGAATTTTGCCGGTTTTACAACGTCTGCCCGGCGCAACTATCTCCTTACTTGTATAAAGCTTTCTTGATGCTGACAAAGTATGCGGAGTTGGATGGCTGTGAGGTCGACGTTCGCCACCTGCTGCACTTATTTTTGCCTAGTTTTTATAGAGGTACTATGATACACCTATGGCATCGTGGGACCAGAGGGTTGGTGGTCGAGATGGACGACAGAACGAATCGGAAGTTCTGGAATAAGTACTTCTTCATCAAGACCGAGCACCTGGTGGCGGACCCGACTGGGTTTCCCGAGCAATGGAACCATAATCGTAAGTGTCTTTGTCGTACGCTCATTATCTTTTTTTGTCCTTTCATTTTTAGCTCACTTGCGGTTTCCTCATTTTTCAGCTGAGAGGCGTGCACCTTCTCCTGTCTTTAACATTGAAGATTGGGTGGCTCGCGTGCTACCTCACATGGTGGGGATTCGTGATTGGGCGTCTTTTCACAAGCGTTTTGGACCCAAGATCTCGTCTAGTAAGTTTTACTTTTGCTTCAGCTTATTGTTGCTTACCGTTGCTCTTTGATGCGACCTCCTTTTGGTGTTAGGTCAACGAATTTCCAAGAAGAAGGCTCCAGTGCCGGCATTTCTCCAAGCTATCGCATCGCCTAGGATGCAATTTGCTTTAGCCGAGTCTGCTCGTGGAGGTCATACTCAAGCTCCACCAATGATGGATTCTGCCCCTCACACTATTGTTGTACGAGATGAGATCTCTTCCCGGCCCATCTATCATCTTGTGGACGAGTCGTCTAATGGAGAGGAGTCGCCATCGAGAAAAAGGAAAAGGATGGAGCTCGGGAAAGTCGTCGTCGCTGATATTGAGTTGGAGAAAATCATTGCTTCGGAAGCGGCGTCTGCACTTGCACCATACGTTGGGACCAATTTTACGGCGGGTGCCGTTATAGAGAGGAGGCCCTCTGGGGCCGAGGGGGTGCGTGATGGCGGGGAGCATGTAAGGGTCGTAGAAGGTGGCGCGTCATCGGCGGCTAGGGGAAATAGAGCGGTACTGGAGGGGGACGACGATTCTGGATCGGATGTCGATCCTGAGGAGGTACGGGCCTTTCTGGAGAGGAATACTCGTGTGGAGGTAAGGACGGAGGTCCTAACTGGCACGTAATCATTCCCGTGGGTTATGACCTTTTGGTCAACTCAGAACCGACAGTGTCATCCTTTGCCCCCCTGTGCACGGCTTCTGAGAACATGGAACTACAGGCGATGAGCGATGCGGAATTGTCGTTGAGTATATTTGGCATGGCTCTGCGAGTAAGTGCTTTTTAATGTTAGGATTTGTTTCACATGTGTAATTTGCTCAAACTGACTCTTTTCTTTTGCATGCCAGACTCTTATTACGGGAATAGACCAGCGGGAGGAGCGGAGGACGACCATCTTTAAAAAGGTGACCTCCAAGTACAGGGAGTACCGTACTAAGCACCGAACGCTGGCCGACGTCTTTAACCAGGATAGCAAATTCCAGTTGTTTCGTGACGGGATTAAATAGAAAGATGAGGAATTGACGAAGAAAAACGAAGAGCTAAGGGGGAAGGATGATGATCTAATGAGATCCATCGGTAGGTGCAGCGAGCTTGAGGCAGCTCTAAAGACAAAGGAGGACGAGCTCGAGGTGAGCAAGGGGGTGATGGCTGAGAATGCTGATCTTCAAGCGCATGTGGCATCCTTAACTGCTGAACTTGGGCAGAGGGAGGCGAAGGGTGTCAATCTAAGGGGTGAGTTGAGCGCCAAGGTTGAAGAATTGACTCATGCCGAGAAAGGCAGAGTGGCCGCTATGGCTGAAGCGACGACCTTAGAAGATGCCCTCCGCGTTTGTAGGTCTGAGCGGGATAATGAGGTGGAGACATTGACGCTTATGGTGGTGAGGTTAGAAGAGCGGATCCAGGATCTGGAGGCGGATTTGTCTGGATTGAACGAGCAGGTCATTTCCTTGAAGGCCAAGGAGGTGCGACGGCAGTCACAGTCATCTACATCTCATACTTCTGCCGATCCCGGCGTGCCGCGGGAGTTGTATGAGATGTGGGTTCACGTCGAGGCTGAACTCGACGTGTATAAGTCTTTGAGCCGTCGAGAAAATTTTCGAAGTAGAACTCGAGGGCGTCCGTGTTAAGGCACGTGCGACCCGTGAAGCTTGTGGTTACGCCCCTGGTACGACTGGTGGAGATGATGTCAACGATGATGCGGATAGGCTCGCCTCCGATACTTGGTATGATGATGAGTATGTCGATGGGGATGACGCAGCGTAAAGCTATCGTACTTAGTTTTTGTTTTTCTTTTTTGCTATTTTTGTGAGGGCGTCTTTGGGCCCTTCGTTTTGTAATTTGACAGTTGTAATGGAACAACTCCCTTTTTGCTACGTGTTTCTTGATTTCCGTTCTCCTTTCTTTTTGCTATGTGAGGAAGTCTCTGGTTTTTTTATGAGATCGATGTTTGATGCAGCCGAACATTTAAGATTTCGAACGACGTCGAATATTGAAGATTTCGAACGTGGTCGAATATTAAGTAGTTCGAGCGAAGTTGAATGTAACGTAATTCGAGCGAAGTCGAATGTGAAATATTTCGAGCGATGTCGAATATAAAATAATTCGAGCGAGATCGAATGTAAAATAATTCGAGCGAGGTCGAATGTAAAATATTTCGAGTGAGGTCGAATATAAAATAATTCGAGCGAGGTCGAATGTAGAGTAACTCGAGCGAGGTCGAATGTAAAGTAATTCGAGCGAGGTCGAATGTAGAGTAATTCGAGCGAAGTCGATTGTCAAATAATTCGAGCGACGCTGAATGTAGAGTAATTCGAGCAAAGTCGAATGTCAAATAATTCGAGCGAGGTCAAATGTAGAGTAATTCGAGCGAAGTCGAATGTAAAATAATTCGAGCGAGGTCGAATGTAGAGTAATTCGAGCGAAGTCGAATGTAAAATAATTCGAGCGAGGTCGAATGTAGAGTAATTCGAGCGAGGTCGAATGTAAAATAATTCGAGCGAGGTCGAATGTAAAATGTGAAAAGACTTGGTGGAGAGTAAAGATGCTGCTTTATTTCATTCATTGGAGAATACATGTCTGTTGGTTTCATACATATATTGGAGAAGTTTCCATGTATCCAGTCCCTTCATCGTTCGGCCCGGAGAAGTAGTCGGCAAACAGGGCGATGAATTACACTTGAACTTCGAGACGTCCCCTTTGTCTCCTTATTAAAAATCTCCCCGAGAAAACCCAACTGGGACAAAACCCGGGTGAGGGAAAAAAAGTACGACGTGGAGGGCGTTTGTTTTCAGAAGTTGAAGTATTTGAGATGGGCGACGTTCCAGTTGTTTTGTAGTAGCTTTCCCTCCATTGTTTCTAGTTGGAATGATCCTTTGTTTGCTGTTGCCGTGATTTTGTATGGCCCGTCCCAATTAGTTCCTAGTTTGCCTTCTCTCGAATCATTGCTCGCTTGTGTTT